GTTTAAGGAATGAATGGTACCACATGATAATAATGGTTGATGACTCTTCATGATACTGATGAATGTAAAATGGTACCAAACCTTTCATGGGAGGGACCTAACTCCTAAGCAACCTAAGTGTTCAGAAGAGTCTCATCAAAGTCCTCTTGGTAGGTTTTAAATAATTGATTTTCCTATTTATAGAAAACAGGAAACAAGGTGGGTTCAAACATATGCCGAGGCTCATAGACACGTTAACTGGAGCTGTAGTGCTGGTTTGATTTGTGAGGAACACGGGGACGCCCAGAAGAAAGGCTAAAGCCTGCGATTATGAAGTCCACTGGCTACTGTGAACTGTAACTGCTGATGGAGGAGGCCAGGGCAGTAGAATGGAGGAGAAAAATAATTTTGTATTTCCTCCTTTTGGAGAGTAAGGAGCAGCTTGTGATGGAGAAAAATGGTCTCTATCCACTTCCCAAGTCTTTGGGGTTTATGCTTAAGGTCATATTTACTTGTTCTGTTGGCAAAGCATCTTCTGAAGAATGTCATCGATGCGACTGTTTTCTCAAACCGTGAGGCCTCTCTGGTGATTATGGCAAAGTATTGGATTGGCCAAAAAGTTCCTTCGGTTTTTAAAGTAAAAATAAAAGACACATTTTTCATTTTTACCAAGAACTTTATTGAACAATGTATTCACCGTTTTGTTTCACTACCTTCTGCCATCATTCAGGCAACTTCGTAATTCCATCTTCCCCAAACTTTTTATCTTTTTGAGCAAAGAACTCTTCCAGGTGCCTTTTACATTCTTCCAGGGAATTGAAATTTTTTCCATTAATAGAATTTTGTAAAGACTGAAATAAATGGAAATCCAAAGGTGCAGTGTCTGGTGAATATGGCGGATGAATCAGAACTCCCCAGCCAAGCTGTAACAGTTTTTGTCTGGTCATCAAAGAAACATGCGGTCTTACGTTATCCTGATGGAAGATTATGCGTTTTCTGTTGACTAATTCCGGATGCTTTTCGTCGTGTGCTGCTTTCAGTTGGTCTAATTTGGAGCAGTACTTGTTTTAATTAATCATTTGGTTTTCCAGAAGGACCTCATAATAGAGGACTCCCGTCTAATCCCACTGTATAAACAACATCACCTTCTTTGGACGAAGACAGGCCTTTGGTGTGCTTGGTGGTGGTTCATTTCACTTGCCCCACGATGTCTTCCGTTCCACATTGTTGTACAGTATCCACTTTTCATCGCCCATCGCAGTTTGTTTTAAAAACGGAATGTTTTTGTAACATTTAAGGAGAGAATCGCATGTGGAAATATGGTTAAGAAGGTTTTCTTTGCTTAACTTATGTGGAAGCCAAATATCAAAGCGATTCACGTAACCAAGCTGGTGCAAATGACTTTCATTGCTTGATTTGGATATTCTGAGTATGTCAGCTATCTCCCGCGTAGTATAACGTTGATTGTTCTCAATTAATGTCTCGATTTGATTGCTGTCAACTTCAACTGGTCTACCTGACTGTGGAGCGTCGTCCAGTGAGAAATCTCCAGTACGAAACTTTGCAAACCACTTTTGACACGTTCAATCAGTCACAGCACCTTCTCCATACACTGCACAAATCTTTTTTTGCGTTGCAGTTGCGTTTTTACCTTTCTTGAAATAATAAAGCATAATATGCCAAAAATATTGCTTTTTTTCTTCCGTCTTCAATATTAAAATAGCTACATAAAAATCTACCAGTTTTGATAAGGTTTTTTTTAAAATGCAAGCTGATATGACAGCTGTCACAATACAATCTAAAAAAATTGTTTCAAATGAAGTTAAAGACAAGTAAGCGCTACTAGAGCCATCTTATGGAAAAAAACAAATGAACCTTTTGGCCAACCCAATAGGTTAATTTTGCTGTAACAGTTCACAGGTGGGCAGATGGCATGAAGCTTGTTGCCCATGTTCATGTCTGAACACGCATGATCCATCCACCTTAGGGGAGGTAAGGGCAGGGATGGAGAACCCACAGAAAAGGAGCAGGGGTGAGTCTCCCCCTTAAGTTTACTCGACTCCTTATGATTGTAAACGCCTACGATTTGCTTCCTCCTGCCAGCAGTTCTTGGCCAGTTTTTACGTGCAAGCCACTGTGCCGAGCATTGTGCCGAGACAGGAATGCACTTACAGAGCCCTCCTGCTAGCAAGGGGGAGCGGATCTGTTTACAGTGACTCAGAGCAGCACATGATACATGTCATGCAAGATGTGCGTAAAACGTACCAGGGAATTTTAGAGAAGAGAAATGACCCTTGGCTTGGAAGAGGAAGAAAAAAAAGCTTCTTAAAATTGAAAAGTGTGGAAGGTAAAGGGGATCTATATATGCTGAAGTGAGGCAGAGGGCATTCTAGCCTAAGCAACGGCAAGAGCAAAGGCCTAGAGGCTGGAAAAATGGTGCATCTGGAAGGAATGAGTGGAAGATCAAGTTAGGAAGGTTGTTTGGAGACTAATTGTTGAGAGAACTGAATTCCTGGCAAAGGAGTTTAGTTTTATTCAGTACATATTATTTGCTGGGTGGCTGATCTTCTTGTTACAGAGGAGGAAACTGAAGCTCAGAGGTGTGACATGACTTGCCCAGGAGCATCTAGCTAATAAGTGACTTCAAGTGCTCTCTCCACCGCTGTGCTTCTCTGTAGTTAGGTTAGTTCCTCTAAACGATAATCCAGTATTTTATTTCTAACCCTCTGTGTGTGTGGTTGCTAGAGACCAGTTATTATAGATTGAACATTAGATAAACTTATTTAGGAGGCAATCAGAATTAAGATAAGGAATGCCTAATCCTTTCTGCTTAGGGAAATCTAAGCTTAACATCCACAGAAGAACTTCACAACCTCCTGTGAGCTACTGCAGGGATGGCAGGAAGGTGTGTCATCCCTGCAATATCCCAGAGATTTGAGTCAGGTGACACGTGGGCTGAGCATGCTTGGCTCAGAGAGAGGCCTTGCTGATCAGAGATAAAAGAGGGAGAGCGTACAGGCACCTCTTATGGTGCTGCTGAAACTGAGAAGTCGTCTGTATGTCTGAGTGGACTTTCCACATTAACTGTCAACATTCTGCATAAGTCAGGTGGCAGAATCAAGGTTAGATTAATGCTTAATTGTTATCGATGACAGCTTAATGAATGAGGTATTTAATTGTCCCTAGGCATTCATATTTCTTTAAATCTTGCTCTATACACAAATCACCAAAATAGTGGTCCTTAAATCCTCAAACTTAATTCCTATAATAACAGGCTCTGTTATAAAAACACAGTTTTAGTAGTAAAGAGTATTGAGTCTCTATGATAACTTGCTTATGGATAATAACTTGGCCATTTAGACTATGAGGCTTTACCCAAAGACACCTCTATCACTTGGTGACAGCACATCTTCATGGCAGACTGCCTTAGTCTCTTTGGGCTGCTATAACAAAAATACCATAGACTGGGTGGCTTAATCAACAGACATTTGTTGCTCACAGTTCTAAAGGCTGGAAGTCCAAGATCAAGCTACTGGCGTATTCAGTGTCTGGTGAGGACTTCTAGTTCACAGACTGTCTTCTTGCTATGTCCTTACATGGCAGAAGGGATAAGGAGCTCTCTGGGGTCCCTTTTATAAGGGCACTAATCTATTCAAGAGGGCTATACCCTCATGACCTAATCACCTCCCAAAGGCCCCACCTCCTAATACCATCACATTGGGGTTTAGGATTTTAACCTATGAATTGGTGGGGGGTAAACATTTAATCCACAACACAAAGGTTGAGAGAGTAGGCTATGCCCTGATGTTGCATTTTATACAGTAGTTTCCGCTATATAGATATAGAATCCAAACCTAATGGAAAATGTTGAAAACTGGTGAAGATGTTTAGCAATGGGGTTGATAGAACTTGAGAGAGTGAATAGTACTTGTAGCCTGAGCCCTGCTTTAATAAGGTATATTCAAGGGACGGGAGTCTTTCAACCACTCATGACATTTTGTTTTAAGAAATGTGATGTTTCCTTTCCTGGAGTTCCCTGGATTAGGACAGTTGTCCTTCTGAGTTGTCCAGGAGGACATACGATGACTGAAGTTCTGGGAATGGGGTGGAGTGGATTACTGTGAGGTCTTGTTTAGCCTGGGAGTTTATGACTGACAAGTAGTAAAGGTTTCCATTAGCACTGACCTAATGCGTTATTTAAAAAATAAAACGCTACCTCTGAAGGTGGTCTGGGTTATCACTTCTTGACCGTCTCTTATGATTCATGTACTGAATCATCTTCTATATCAACAAATGCCAAGGACACAGAAGGATGAACTTACTCTCAGAGATCACAGTTAAATCTGAGTTTTATCATGTATGGAGCGCATTTAAATCTTAATGATTTTTATTTTAATATTTCATGCTCATTTGAAAAAAATTCTAACAATACAGAAATGTAGATCTTAAATAAAAAGCCTCCAAGTAAAGTCACCAGTAATCCACTCTGTCTGCTCACCTCTAAAAAGTATCCACTGTTCAGTTAGTATATTTCTCTTGATTTTTTTCTTCTATGTATACATTAAAAAATACGCTTCCATTCTCATATGCTGTCTGCCTCTTTCCTCTGCTCTTCTGTCCTACCCATCTGTCTATATTCTTATATAAATACACACTGCCCCCCATCTCAGAAATGGGAATGTGTCTTCCCTAGTGTTTTTCAACTTGCTTTTTTTGCTTATCTTGGCCTCTCTCCTCCTACCCCCTTCCTGCCCACCATGTTAATACATGTATTAATAGATCCACCACTCTATTCTTTGTAATGACTATTCAGTACCCTATTTCTTTTTTTTGGCGAGGGGATGGGCTATAAAGTATTTCCCCAACCATCCCCCCCCCCGATTTTTTCCCCTAACTCTTATTGAAAAATATTTGGACTTTTTCTAGTTTTTTGCTCCTACAGACAGTGAGCAACCGGCATCTTAATTCTGAGCATTTTGAAACTGACAGTTGTCCAATTGACTGATATTTTTGTCTCTTAGAACATGGAACCCTGTTGTTCAGAGACATATGCAGAGCTTCAGCGCACAACAGACAGCAGTGGGGCTCCTCAGGTGGGCATATGTGTGGGAGGCCGCTGGCCCCTCAAGTTTTCTACGGGAGCTGGAAGAGACCTCAGAGCACAGGGTGAACAAAACCTTTTAAAGCCTTGAGAAGAAGGTTCCATGCAAGTGAAGCTGTCTAGAGAGCTATGTGTGACTCCATTTGTAGAGCAGATAATCAGAGAGGAACCTTCCTGGCACATAGGCTGTGGGTTGCAGTGCAGTCCCTGGGGCCCTGGAAGATGTGTGCCCCCCTCAGCTTAGTGCCTTGCTTTATGTACATGAGGAGGGTGGGCATCCCTGAGGGCAGCAGGAGTGCCACAGTCCACAGTAGCCCTTCCCCAGTCTCATTCCCGCCTTCCCTGCTCTGGTAAAGAAGGAAGGGGCTACTCCTCAGAAACCCCCTTTGACCATCCTGCCTATGTATCCCACTACCCTTTCTGTTTTGTACATTTCTGTGATTGAAAATTTTATAATAAACTTGTATTGACTTTGCTAAAGAAAAATTATTTGGGGAAATTTATAAATAAAAATTCCAAAATAGTAACCTAGCAGTACATGAAAGAACCCGGTTTCCTTCGCTCTCAGCTGCCGCTCTATAACACACTTAATAGCTTGGCGTTATACTGCCTCCCTTTCTTTATGCATCTACCTAAATATATATATATTTTTTTCTTGTAAAAATAGGATCATACTGTATGCAGTTGTATAACATTTTATACTTAATATATCATAGATAATCTGTATTATACATCAAAACATATCAACGTACCTTATTTTCTTTATTAGCTATATCATTTCTATGGTGTGGCAGTACAATAATTTCTTTAACTGGTCTCTTATGGTCAGGTTGTTTGCAGTTTTTCTCCAATCGAGCTGAGTTGATACAAAATACCTTCATCTAAGGAGAACCATTGGCCCAGTTGTTTACAGTAGCTAGGCAGCATGGGTAATCCAGATAATCCCAACATACCTAGTTTACTTAGTACCTTCAACTGATCCCTGATTTTCATTCTCTCCCAGGGTTTGCTAGTGACATATATCTTGGTGACCATTCTGTAGTTTTAGTGGCTTTGTGTTTTGGGTGTGTTTGATTTCTTCATGTCCTGAGGTTTCTAGAATATCATCCTCCTTTCATGTTCTGCAGACCCTTTGAAACTGCCCAGATTGGGAAACAGGAAAACCTGAAATCTCTGACAGAAAATTATCTGAAGTTCTGTGATAATTGTCTAACAAGCCTCCCTGGCCCTTACTCATATGTGAAATGATGGTAGCCTGCCCTGGCTGAATTTCATTATTACTGACTACCTCTGTTTGCTTCTTGCTGAATGTCTCCAGATTAAACCTTTCAGAATGTGCCATTTGCTGTTGGAAAGTCATATTCTGCATTTAGCTGAAGGATTTAGAACAATTTTTCTCAAACCTGTTGAATCATAAAATTCACCGGAGAAGCTTGTTTAAAAAAAAAAGGATCAGTTGATTAAGATGGTAAATTTTATGTTATATGCCTTTTACCTCTTAAAAAAAATTGGAAGAAAAAAGGAAATGGGCCAGATTCCACTTTGTAGCTATAAAAGAGAATGAAGTTGTACTTTATATGCATGATAGATTAATCTCCAAGACATGTTGTTGAGTGGTTGGGGAGGAGTTGCAAAATGGTGTCTACCATATATTAACTCTGCAGAAAGAGAAGCAAAGAAAGGGAAAATGTATTTGTTTCTGTACGCTTAGAAGCATACCCAAGCAGCAGGTAATCCTCTTTGCCTCTGGGAAGGGAAACTGGATGGCCAGGGACCGGAGTGAGAAGGAGTGTTGCCTTTGGAATTTAAAATCATGTGACTCTGTTGCCTATTCAAAGGTAAATATTTTTTTAAAGTTAGATTTCCGAGTCTCTGTCATGGATAGTCTGGTTTAATACATTTAAGGTGGGGCCTGGGAACCCATATATATTTTTTAAATAACAGCTTTATTGAGACATGATTCATGTATCATAAAATCCCTCCTTTTAAAGAGTACAGTTCAGTGGTTTTTAGTATATTCAGAGTTGTGTGATCATCGTCAGTAATTACAGAATATTTCCACCTCCCCAAAAGAAAACCCCGAATCCATTAGGCAGTCACACCCCGTTCCCCCTCCCACAAGCTTCCCCCAGCCACCAATCTCCGTTTTGTTTTGATGGATTTGCCCATTCCAGTCATTTCATATAAATGGAATCTTACAATGCAGATCTTTTATGACTGGCTCCACTCATTTAGCATAATGATTTCAAGGCTCATCCATATTGTCGCGTGTATGTACGCATATACGCCGCATGCATGTAGAGTTGGAGGAACTGCCAAATTAGTTTGCGAAGTGGCTTTACCATGTTCCATTCCCATCAGCAATGTTTGGGGGCCTGGGGGTCTGTGTTTTCACAGGATCTCTATGATTGTTATGCTCAAGCTATTTTGGAAAACACCGTCTCCAGTAGTAGCCCAGTCCCTCTTACTGTGGCTGTTTGTCTTCCACCCAGCGCCCAGAAGCACTGAAGGACGTGTTGACCACTGTGCAGGGAACAGCGGCAGAATGCCTCTCTGCAGAGCAGTCAGCACCCCAAGAAAAAGGATCTTAAACAGGACGAACTCTGGGCTGAGGTCAGCCAGGCTTGAGTGGGGTTTTTTGTTTGTTTTATTTTTTTTTTAAGATGGAATATGGAAAATAAATCTAGCCGTTCCTTGAAACCTCAGAAGATTCAGATGGAGGAATGCATAGCATGGGGAAGCCAGTGCATAGATTGATACATGCTTTTTCCTTCCCCCAGTGGAAAAAGGATAATAGTCTTTATGAATTGGAATCTGATTTCTCCTTTTTCTAGAAGTCTTTTTTAGAAAAAACAATGTAACCCATTTTATCTGTAATTGTCTTCTGTGGCTTTTAATAGCCACAAATAAAGTGTTATGTGCTGTAGGGTATATAGAAATAGAAATATAATGTCGTACACGTGAAACATACAGTGTTATAAACCAACTTCAATTTTTAAAAAATGTTATATGATATTGGCATGATTATTCTGAACTCTATGAGGAAAAACTGTTTTCATACACAGTAGGATTTGAGTTCTAATTACTAAGACAAAATTGAAAGGTCTCCCAGACAAGATTTTATATATGGGGCAAGTCTTCCGAGGATAGAAATAAAAATCTGCTTTGAAACATTTCCTGCCTCAATGCTTAAATAACTGTTTCTTTTCACTCCCTCCTTTGGAATGGGAACTGAGCAGGGTGGCTGGGAGGAGTAGGGCACCCGGCACAAAGTGGGTCCCTCTTTAATGAGCCATAATAATAGGCACCTTTCTCAGGGCCACTTGGTAACAAACACATAAATAGAATACATAAATGGTCTTTCAGGTTGTTCTGAGCAGAATTTTAATTTCCGCCGAGAAAGGCTCTTTCTTCACTTTGTTTGATAATGGACTTAATGTCTTCACCGGAAAGCAGTGCCTATAGAGCCAGGAGAAAGACACCAGACCTGGTGGAGTCCAGGCCTGCCTGTGCTCTAGGGGGTGAGGTCAAGGGTAGGCTCAGCTCAGTTTCTTATTTTCGTATTGTGGTTAAGTTCACACAACATAAAATTTACCATTGTAACCATTTTTGAGTGTACACTTCAGTGGCTTTAAGTACATTCACAGTGCTGTGCAACCGTCAGCACCATCCATTTCCAGAACTTTTTCATCATCCCAAAGAGAATGAAACTCTGTACCCATTAAATAATACCTCTGTTCCCGCCTTCCCATTCTACTTTATCTCTCTGAATTTGACCACTCTGACTACCTCATACCAGTGGAGTTAGACAGTGTTTGTCCTTTTGCCTGACCTATTTCATTTAGCATAACGTTTTCAAGGTTTGTTCATATTTATAGCACATGTCAGCATTTCCTTCCTTTTTAAGGCTGAGTAATACTCCTTTGTATGTATGTACCATGTTTTGCTTATCTGTTCTTTGATGGACAGACACTTGGGTTGTTTTCATCTTTTGGCTCTTGTGAATAATGCTGCTGTGAGCATTCGTGTACAAGCACCTGTTTGAGTCCCTGCTTTCATTTCTTTGCGGTATACACCTAGAAGTGGAATCGCTGGTAGATGGTAATTCTGTGTTTAACTTGAGGAACCACCAAGCTATTTTCCACAGCAACTGCACCAGTTTGGATTCCCACCAGCAGTACACAGAGATTCCAGTTTCTTTACATCTTTGCCAATACTTGTTATTTACTCTTTTTTTTCATAGTGGCCATTCTCATGGGTGTGAGATGATATCTCATGGTGGTTTTTCTTTTTTAATAAATTTATTTTATTTATTTTTGGCTGCGTTGGGTCTTCATTGCTGCGTGCGGGCTTTCTCTAGTTGTGGCGAGCGGGGGCTACTCTTTGTTGTGGTGCGTGGGCTTCTCATTGCGGTGGCTTCTCTTGTTGCAGAGCACAGGCTCTAGGTGTGTGGGCTTCAGTACTTGTGGCATGAGAGCTCAGTAGTTGTGGTGCATGGGTTTAGTTGCTCCGCGGCCTGTGGGATCTTCCCAGACCAGGGCTGGAACCCGTGACCCCTGCATTGGCTGGCGGATTCTTAACCACTGCGCCACCAGGGAAGTCCCTCTCCTGGTGGTTTTGATTTGCATTTCTCTCATGATGAATGATGTTGAGCATCTTCCATGTGCTTAATGTCCATTTGTGTATTTTCTGTGGACAAATGTCTATTCAGGGTAACCTTTAGTCAGGTTACTTGTTTTTTTCCATTGTTGTAGAATGTCTTTGTGTATTCTGGTTATAAACCCCTTATCATATCTGTTATTTGTAGACTTGTGTTTCTTTTAAAAAACACACATCTGACTGTGTTGCTCAGTGCTGGTGATGGCCTTTAAACTCTGCTCAGCTCAGTCTTTTAACATCCCTGGGCTACTCTCACCTGGCCACTCAACTTTTGAGCTTTGTTCATCATCTGGGCGTGGAAATAATTGTACCTTCCCCATAGGACTGCTTGAGGACTGAGAATGTTAATTATCTTAAGATAGGGCCTAGGAGTTCCTCTGGTTTCCATGAATAGTGCCATTTACTACTGTCTGTAGGCCAAGATGGAAGACCCTGCATCTTTCTGGGAGGTTTATCTACCAGAGCCCCTATATCAAGACAGGATCAGCTGCTTTGTGTCCCCCTTAGAGCAGAGCATACGACAGGCTCCCAGCAGATAGGTATTAATTAGTGTGATCACGTTGGGCTCATCACCACACTTGTGTTGTCAACTCTTGCCCCCTGTTTTCCCATGCGTGCCCACGATGCCCGGGAGAGTGCCAGTTCACAGCTGGAGCTTAATAACTGTGCTTAGGTGAATGCGGTACGGGTGTGAGTTCGGGGTCCTGGGAGGGAAGCTCCTGGAGCAGAGGTAACTTTATGTAGTAAACCCTGATATCAGTGTCTTTCCATACTGTGGTTTTTTCTTTTGAAGAAGGCAGAGAAGTCACTACCCCACTCTCCAGTTTCAGTCGCAGACTCTTCTCGTTAAGGGCCAGCCTCTGTTTCCGGCTGTGGGCATTTGTTGTTGCATCTGCTCCTCTGCTGTGCTGGAGGGGCTTCTGGTTTTAACTCGGGGTGCTGCAGACCAGAGCACTGTTCTGTGTGCATCACTGCAAGCCGTTGCGGAGTGGAAGTGTATTTGAACCATGTAAATGTTTGATCTTGTCGGGTAGTTTAAAATTTCGTTTGTCAGGTCAGTGTTCTGTCTGTTCTGACCCTGAGGCTCTTTCTCATGGTTAGTACTTAGGCAGTTCTAGAAAGACCTCTCCTTCTCCCTCTCCATCTACGCTCCCACCAACACACTAGTTCCTCCCGCCACCGGCTGTGTCCTCCTGTTACTCCCTCTCTCTCACCTCCCCCTTCCTCTCCATCCCTCCTCTCTCCCTCTTCCCCTTCTTTCCTCCCTCTCACCCTTGGAGGTCTTCTTGTTTTATAGTCTGTTTCATAGTTCGTAAAGTGTCTTCACTTTCCAAATGATTCTCCGGAACTGTCACCTAATCAGAAGTCTTTAAAGCCGTGTGTGTGTGTGTGTGTGTGTGTGTGTGTGTGTGTGTGTGTGCGTGCGTGCGCGTGTGCGCGCGTACACATTCCTTCAGGCATTTCCATTGTTATTTCTTTAACAAATACAGTGTGCGTTAGAGCATATTCAGACAAACCAGAGCTTGAACCTGGGCTCCACCACCACGGCTGGACCCTCCCGCATACACAGGCCCTGTGGTAGGACCGGGCACTTCTCGTTCCACACCTCATTTCCTACCTGTGAAGTGGGCTGCGGACAGCACTTTCCTCCTGTGGTGAACCAGATGGTTCACTGAACCAGTTCAGGTGAAGCCTTCAGTACAGGCAACTGTGACTTCTATGCCCTCTGTAACAATTTGCCACGTGCTTTTTTCACGTATTATCTGAAGTCAGTTTGAGGTTCTCTGAGCCAAATCGCTCAAAGGAGGAAGGGGGGGAAGAGGAGAGCTGGGAGGCGGCAGCACCCTCTCAAGCGAACGTTCCAACGAGTCGATCACGGTGCAGAAACCCTCTTCCAGGACTCGCCAGCTGTCTTGAGCCCTCGGTGTGGCCGGACTTCCAGGCCGTGTGAAGAAGAAGCAGACCCTGAAGTTTTCAACGTTCTCATACACGGACTTTTCTTCTGTCTTGCAGCTGATGCCTTTTTCAAAGCCGCTATAAGCCTCGTTCCAGAAGTTCCAAAGATGATTAATATTGACGGAAAGATGCGGCCCTCAGAATCATTCCTTCTGGAATTCCTCTGCAATTTCTTTTCTACTTTGTTAATAGTTCCGGTATGTTTCCCCAGAAGACCTGTAGGTGATGTCTTTCTTTGACCTGTTTTACATACATTCTTAGTCCTAAAAGTGCAGGGATGTTCTGTCTATACCTGTATTGGTTTTCTAGTCAGATGTTTGAATTTTTCAATGTGTTTTCTGTTCATTCTGTGTCCAGGGTATGTAGTCTAGGCTCTCTATATGGTCGAGGGGGTATCACTTAGTGGTGAGGGCTCAGGCCTCCGGACCAAGACACCTAAGGTAGAAACCCAGCTCCCCTTCCTTCCAGCTCTGAGTTTCAGGTGATTATGTAACATTACCAGGATGCAGTTTACTCATTTACAAAATGGAAATAATAAGAGTATCTACATCTCTAGGTTGCTGTGATGATTAGGTGAGCAAATGTACGTATATGGTTAGAGCAGTGCCTTAGCGCATAGTAAACACTTAAAAAGGTAATGGTGGTGTTATTTTGATGGCAAGTACCAGAAACCGCAACAAGATAGTAAAAGTCGAAGGGGATATTGTTGGAAGATGCTGGGGTTTCTCGTGGAATATAGGAGATGAGAAGTCAGGCTTGGGCTGGAAGGAATCAAGGCCACTCCCAGGATCCAGCATTAGGACCTTCACCCTAGTTGGGGTTCTTAACCTGGGGTCCACCTACCCCAGGGTTTCTGGCAGGGCAACCACGAATTTAGATGAGAAAAAAAAAGGTTTTTGTGTTTTGTTTTGTTTTGTTGTTGTTGTTTTTCACAAACCTCAGTGAAGTTTAGCCTTTTGCTTCATTGTGAATCACAGGCAAAGAGCCACAGTACCAGTTGCGGTAGCTGGGACTTTGTCAGGAAAATAATCAACGCTATGTTTATATCACGTTTCAGGTGTGAAAGTTATTTCAGAAGATCGTCTACGTGTTTCCTTCCTTTAAAAATGCAGTAGTTATTAGGCCCATCATTACTTCACCAAGAAGTAATAGATTACAGTATAACAAATACATTGGAAAAATATTTTGACAACTGTATTTTAGCATAATTGATTGCCTTTGTAGTCTTACATATGTTATTTTCTGCATTAAAAATAGTACTCTGAGTTGTGCATAGGCGTCACCAGGTTGTAACAAGGTCCAGGCACAAAACGGGTCGGCTCCTGATGAAGCCAGATGTACATAGGAATCGGGGATGCGTTTTAAAATAGAGTCTTGCTTTGTCCCATCCCCGCCTCCCCACTGAGAGTCTCACTCAGTAGGTGGGATTGGCCTCTGAACCAGCATTTTTGAAAGCTCCCTCATCAAGTCAGGTGTAGGTGGTCCTAGGACCACACTTTAAGAAATGTCCCTCTGGGCTTCCCTGGTGGTGCAGTGGTTGAGAGTCCGCCTGCCGATGCAGGGGACATGGGTTCATGCCCCGGTCTGGGAAGATCCCACATGCCACGGAGTGGCTGGGCCCGTGAGCCATGGCCGCTGAGCCTGTGCGTCCGGAGCCTGTGCTCTGCAATGGGAGAGGCCACAATAGTGAGAGGCCCACATACCGCAAAAAAAAGAAGAAATGTCCCTCTGGACTCAGGCCATGAAAGCAGCCCAGCTCCCGTGGGTACGGGGTTCCCTTTTGGGGTGATGAAAGCGTTCTAAAATTGACGGTGGTGATGACTGCACAACTCTGAATATACAACCAACCTATGAACTGTGCGTTTTAAGTGGGTGAATTGTTGGGTGTGTGAATCATATCTTAGTGAAGCTGAGAGAACAAAAAGTGAGTTGCTCCGAAGTTTCCAAGTTCAGATCCCAAGTTCTTTGAAGAGGGGCTGGGATATTCAGGAGGCGGGCTTGATGCTTGATTTCAGTGTTTTCAGATCTCCTTCTTAGTACTTTATAATCAATTTCTCTCTTTTTTGGATATTCTAGTTATTTGTCAGGTGACAAAATCAGGGTTTCTAATGAGGAAGTTGATCAGTGTCATTGTTCATTGATTAACTGGGATGCGTTTTCCTTCTGCATGTGGGGTTTTCTCTGTTAAAAATCACTGGAGCCTTGAAGAAAAGCTTGTGTTCGGTCCTGACCCAATGACTCAATAGCCTTGTGGCCCTGGGAAAGTTTTGTAACTTTCAGAGCCTCAGTTGTCACCTTTCTAAAATGTCATCCAAATGCACACCTAGCAGGGCTGCTGTGAGGATTGACTGAAATGATAGCTATGAAAGTGCTTTGTGAACCAGAAGCTTGGTCCCTGGGGTCACAAACTGATGACCAGTGGGTGGAATCCAGCCCAGAGACATACTTGTTGGCCACATCATGATGGAAAACGTTTGGAACTAATTACCCACATTTAAAAATTGGTAGGGGCTTCCCTGGTGGCGCAGTGGTTGAGAGTCCGCCTGCCAATGCAGGGGACACGGGTTCGTGCCCCGGTCCGGGAAGATCGGAAAATAAATAAAATAAATAAATTTAAATAAATAAATAAATAAATAAAAATAAAAATTGGTAGATCACAGGAAACCCCAGAAATTTAGTTCCTTGTGAAAAATCAGGTCCAGCCATGTGAGGCCCGCATTCCCCGCCTGGCCAGTTGACCTCAGCTGGAGAGCAGCTGCTCTTCCTGGGGGGCACGTGCACTCTCTCCAGGTCCCCGGGTGCCTCTGGGTCCATTAAATCCTTTTCTGTTGCCTACCGTTCCCCTAGGCATTCAGGGGAACCCCCCTGCCAGACTTCATTGGTTCCTGGTATCAGTGCTCAGGCTTTTGCCAGGATTTACTAAAGCTCATGAGATGAAGAATAGCCACAGTCCGTGACTTCTTACTAGGTGCCCTGTGCAGTGCTAACTCCCTTCGTCAACATTCAGTCTCTAGGAAAATGCCCCCAAGTCTTGCAAGGTAGGCGTCATTGTACCTTTCCCACTTAAGGAGACCTGGAGCCCAAGAGGCTTGCCTGGGGTCGCGTGGCTGTTGAGCAGCAGAGCTGGGAGGTCTGTGCTGCCCCAGAGCCTGTCCTGCATGGTCTGCCTGAAACGTTTGCAGGGGGCTTTATTTGCTCAAGGTTGTTGAGACTTAACAACCTTATATCCCTCCTGTGGGATGCAGCATAGTAACTACTGGTCGGCTTTCCGGGGCGCAGTGAGGTGTTGAGCCTGAAGGGCCAAGGCCGGGCGCTAACCGAGCTCAGAAGCCAGAGGATGGGCCACACACGAGCTCCGCCCGCTGTGAGTAGGTTTAGCAGGAGATGACTCCCATATCCCACCTTTACCTGGTTCGCATTTTTTTTTTTTTCTTTTTTTTTTGCGGTACGCGGGCCTCTCACTGCTGTGGCCTCTCCCGTTGCGGAGCACAGGCTTCGGACGTGCAGGCCCAGCAGCCATGGCTTACGGGCCCAGCCGCTCCACGGCATGTGGGATCCTCCCGGACCGGGGCACGAACCCATGTCCCCTGCCGATGCAGGGGAC